GTTATGAAGTGAAAGCTGTCACAAAAGCAAGAATGACTGCTACCATAATCACTGTCTTCCCTTTTCTTGGTTATTTTTGTTAATTAACAAAATATCTGCCAGTGGTCTTATAAAAATATTCATCTGATTTCCTTTAGTTTGAAGTAGATTAAAAGTGAGATTTGGAATTAATTAAATACATAGAATTTATGCAAGCCTGGATGACCCTCTGAGAGAAGTCTCAGCTGTCACTCAGTGACCCATTAACACTACTCTTCCATCCTGCAGTGTCAGTTTTTTCATTCTTATGGATATAATGCTCCCAGGGGATGGGAGATATCTTCAGGAATGAGAAAGAACAGCAGATCCAAGCTAACTATCAAAGACAGAGCAAACAACAGAGCCAGAGAACAAATTGCAACAGATGAGGTCTAAACACAGTAGAAGAGGTCTATTATAATGGTAGGTTTTAGAATGTGCTAAGAGGTTCAAGCTTTAAGCAGTATGGCAACTTTTTAGCAAGCTGTTTTCTTTGCCCTGTCTGAATAGCAGAAATATCCAAAATAAGACTTGCAGTGGAGAAGGAAGATGCCTTGACTCTGTAATAGAGTAATATGGGTGAGATCTTAAAATGGGGCAATAGACAATGGGATACAGAACAGAACATAGATCAAGGGGGATTGCTTAATAATTTAAGCAGAACAGAGTTTTTGGGTAGGGTGGTTTACTGGTGTACAAAATGAACATTTTGGATTAAATGAACGTCCTGGATTAAATAAGGCTTCTATCTCAAGATTGAGCTAGTAACTGTGACTTAAACAAACATCATTGCTATCTAACAGTTTAAACTAGCATATTGTTCCATGGGACATTCTTCTTTTTTTGAAAACATATTATTTATGTTACATCAGGACGACAGGTTCCCTTTCCTTCTCTCCTCCCAATCCCACCCCCAACCTCCTCTCTGTACCCTCCATTCATTCCTTCTCCTTTTCTATTCATAAAAAAGCAGGCCTCCTGGGGATATCAACAAAACATGGCATACCAACTTGTAGTAAGACTAAACACCTCCCCTTGTATTAAGGCTGGGCAAGGCAACCCTATATGAGGAACAGGTTTCCAAAAGCCAGCAAAATAGCCAGAGACAGTCCCTGCTTCCACTGTTAGGAGTCCCACAGGAAGACGAAGCCACACACTATCACTATATGCTGAGGGCCTAGGTCGGTCCCATGCATGCTCCCTGGTTGTAGGTTCAGTCTCTATGAACTCCTATAAGCCCAAGTTAGTTGTTTCTGTGGGGTTTCTTGTGATGTCCTTGACCCCTCTGGCCTCTACAATCCTCCTCCCTCTCTTCAGCAAGATTCCCTGAGCTCAACCTAATGTTTGTCTCTGGGTCTGTGCATCTGTTTCTTCCAGTTGCTAGGTGAAGCCTCTCTGAGAACTATTGGGGTAGTCAATAATCTATGATTACAGCAGAATATCATTAGGCATCATCACATTGACATATTTCACTTCTAGAGTCAGGTTTGGTTCTATCCTAGGTCTCTGGAAAATCCACCCTCTGGGTCCTGGCACTCCAGGCAGTGTCAGTTGTGGGCTTACTCTTGTGGCATGGATCTAAGGCTGGATTATAGGCACATCCTTAGAAGCTACATTTTATGATTATGACATGAAGAATTATGGAGACTTGGCTCTAGGGCTGATGAGACTGCTAATTAGGTAAAAGCCTAGTGGTCAGTATTCAATCTTCAGAACCCAAGTTAAGGAGGAAGGAGAGAACTGGCTCTACAACTTTGTAAGCCAGGGCACAGTGAGACCTCCAAACTAGATTGATTCATGGGTGGGAAGAAAAGTTTACTGGGGATCACACTGCCAAGGTCATACCATGGGGCTGGGGAAAGAATAAAAAGATGGGAAGCAAAGGGAGTTTATGTATAAGATAGGAATGTGTGATCTGACACAGGCTGGGAAGATTGACTAAGAACTAGGTGACTTTGCCAAATATAGTTGACCTTTGGGGAAAGATAAGGATGCTTCCTGGCAAATAGAAACTGTTGGGAGCCAAATCTCAGGGCTTGGCATGAGATCCTAGGCCATGATTGGCAGACCACATAGTTAACCTTTACATAGCAGCTCCTTGGAACCTCAAACCAAGAAAACAAACAACCCTCCCTGGACCTCTTACTCATAAATTCTTTCCCCTGCCAAACATTCTCTTTGTGGCTTCCTAATATCCTGCCTATACCAACACCTGGTGCACCAACAACTCATTTTGCCCCTCCCCATATCCTGACTATATAAGCTGGGAGTTTATGTATAAGATAGGAATGTGTGATCTGACACAGGCTGGGAAGATTGACTAAGAACTAGGTGACTTTGCCAAATATAGTTGACCTTTGGGGAAAGATAAGGATGCTTCCTGGTAAATAGAAACTGTTGGGAGCTTTAGGAGATCTGCTTTTCTGTAAACAGGAAATCACCCTTAGACTTCCTTTTACACAGCCAAATTCTCTTTAGTACTCTGTCCCCAGCCCTACCATCTTGAGGGGCAATGCTTTGGATCTAACAAACTTGTCCTGTCACCTTCACACAAGAGCCATCACATGCCCCATACCCTCTCAAAATAACACACACACACACACACACACACACACACACACACACACACACAGACACGATGATTCTATATCCCCATACAAAGATTAGTCAAATTTAGATTAATTCAAAGCAAAATATATAAATAAGCATCTTTGGAAACTTGTTGGAAATACAGGAAAAACCATGTACACCTTAGTGACAACAAAAAAAGGTGGCCAAAAGATATGTTAAAATTCAGGTGAAATTAGAACCATAACAAACAGTAAAGGAGCCTGAAGTATTGCAAACTTTCTAATAGAGTCAGCTTGGCATCAAGTGCCCACAGAAGACAAAAACTTCAGGCTGAGGTTTAGGTACCTCAAACACAGTGGCAGAAGTCTGAGGATAAAAGTTGCATTTTTTTTTCAGGAGTATTAACTTTTAAGCATTTTAGGAGTAAAGTTATTTGTTAAAGCTAGTATTTAAATAGTGTATGCTATATATAATTTGTGACTTCATTTTTCATGGAAATAGAAATAGTATAGGATGCAGTAAGCTTACCAAATCTATTTTAAAGATCATAAACAAGAACAGAGTATTGGGACAGGAAGAAATGTTTTGATCTATCCCTTGGTAACTTTAAAGAATCACAAAAGAAATACCATTCAAAGCCCTTTTCCTCATTAGGGAAAGGGTACTGCAACAATGAGTAGAAGGCCATGATCAGGTTGTATATGTGTGCTTGTATATTTGTACATATTTTTAATAAATATGTGAATATTTTTGGCAAGTTTTCTTTTGAAACAAAGTTAGAAGTGAAGGGACCAGCTCCCCATTTTGACAGCCATAACAGCCGAACATGCACTTGCCTGACCTTGTCTTGGTCACTAAGGTCAGATGCCTGCCCCTTTCAGCAGCCATAACAGCTGAACACGCACTTGTCTGACCTTGTCTTAATCACTAGGAGGTCAGATGCCTGCCTCATGGCAAGGAACCAATCAGAAGTTAGCTGGTGGTGCTATGCTTTACGACCCTGGGTGTGCTTTACGGACAAGTGCACAGCAATGGCTCGCAGAGCATAGCAATCACCCTGGGAGGGAATATGGGCCATAACAACCAGTTGACCAATCAACACAGGGCAAACCCTCCAAGCCTGGAGCCACACCAATCCTGAGCCTGTGCGTACCCCTAGACACTCCCCTTACGCTGCCCTGTAAGATCTCTATTCAGAAGCTTCCAGTCATCTTTTCAAGCCATCTGCCATAGATGAAAGACCCAAGCTAACATGGGGTTAGCTCTTTTAACAACTATAATAAAACCTCATGCAGTTTGCATCAAGCTTTTGACTCCGCCTGGTGATTGGGTTGGCCGAGGTCCTGGGTTGAGATCCTGGAAGCCTGAGCTTTCAGGGGTCTTACAGAAGAAATATTAGCTCAAGGCTTCAGTCTCTGATCAGCTGTGGCATCTCTTTGGGACTGTGGGGAGGGAGTT